TTTATCGTTCATTTTGTTTTTAATATTATTCCCTTTGATATCGTTTGCTTAACAGAGGCACTTGAAGGCAAATGTCAGTGGAGTTGGAGTTTTTTCCCCATCTGACATTGAAAGCACTGCATTATTAGTGTATCTAAACTGCTGTAATTGCCTGCAAGCAGTATAGACCTGTATCAGAGACTCTCCTGGCTCTCCTGAAATGTCACTGAGCAGGGGAAAATTGAACCTCGGCTGAGGGTGACGGCTCCGGTCACAGTAAGAACTGTGCTGTAGTGTGGCCAGGCGACTCTCCCTGCGGATCGCCTCGTGTGACATCACAGTGACATGTGGGCTAGCGGTACACCTACCATACAGCCCACCTTAGTGAAAGTAACATAACCGTGCCCTCTTCTTGTTGGACATCCACATTGCTGCTGGAAGAGGTGTTAGTGGGACCAGCAGGGGGCGCTCACCCTGTGGTCCATGTGGGTCCTAATGCCCCAGTATAGTGACGGGGACACTATACTGTAAACAGGCACCGTCCTTCGGATGAGACGTAAAACCGAGGTCCTGACTCTCTGTGGTCATTAAAAATCCCAGGGCGTTTCTCGAAAAGAGTAGGGGTGTAACCCCGGCGTCCTGGAAAAATTCCCCATTGGTCCTTACCAATCATGGCCTCCTATTAATCCCCCTCTATGAATTGGCTACATTACTCTGCTCTCTTCCCCACTGATAGCTGATGTGTGGGGAGCGTTCTGGCGCACTATGGCTGCCGTCGCATCATCCAGGTGGGGCTGCACACTGGTGGTGGTGGAGGGGATCCCCATTACCTGTAAAGCGCTTTGAGTGGAGTGTCCAGAAAAGCGCTATATAAGTGTAAGCAGTTATTATTATTATTATTATTATTATTATTATGTGACTTTTCATCAGCACGCCAGGTGTGAGTGAGTGTGTGTACTTCGGTACAGATGTGTGGTTTTAAACACCACAGACGCCCGGCAGCCCTCCCCCCAGTCCCTGTGTGCAGCATCGTGATGCACAGTGCTCTAGAATGATCTGTGTCCCGCCAGTTCCATGCAGCTCTCTTATCAGGGCAGCCTTTATGTGTCGGAGCTGTTTTATGTGTCGGCGGTGGCTGGAGACAGACTGATTGCCATCGGAGTGCAGCGGAGAGGCACCAGGTACTGAAGTGAGATCACTGAGGATCAGTTGATGATAAAGAACACTCAAAGCTCTCGTTTTTTTTTTCCTCCATCAATTGGAGGCTCCCTTTTCTTCTGCTGCACTGACCCAGAAAAAGCCAAGATGCGCATAATAACCAGTAACGATACACCAGCACACACACGTTCATGCTCCGCGGACGGGCACTGCAGAGCGACCACATCAAGGGCCCTGAGAGGCGGCATCGGAGACGTGTTTCGCGCAGGACGTTTTCACTGTTCTGTGTGAAACTGCTTACACGCACGTCAGCTGCAGCCGAAGAAATGTTTGCTTTAAAGCAAAACAAAAAGCAGCTGTAGGTTTGTGCATGCCAAAAGATATCAATAATAACATTTTGCCTGACAGCTTATAATTTATTACCCAAATTATTCTGTAGAACACATGACATTCTGTAAGATACGATTTCCTGTCTTTTGGAACGTCATGTTGCTGAAGAGGCACTTTGCTGCATGCCGGACACGAGTGTGACAAGTCATGGGAAGTGCCTTTGACATCATTAGAAGACAAACTTTCAAACTTAATGCTTAGCGTTTGGTGTTCTCAGGCAGATCCACTGGCAGTTGCGCGTTGCTTGTAGAGTTATAATTGAGCTGGGCGTTTCCTCTGGGCGGCATGAGCTGGGTGACAGACGTGTCTCCGTGTGCTCGGGCCTGTGGAGACTGGCGTGAGCGCAGGGACATCAAGCCACGGAGAAGTCTTTTTCTGCGGTGAGGTGGCCTTCTGTTTCAAGTGAATAGGATGGGCAGGACAGTTGCTGGAGAATATTTTTTTACTGCTGTGCAAAACTGTTCCAGTTTCTCATTTTCAGCATACTGTAAATCCCCCCCAAAACTGTAATTTGTGGGGAAAATGTTTAATGTATCCTAGTCCTAGCAAGGTGTGTGCACTGATCTTTTCGGAAAATAAGGAGGACAGTTCCCTCTGGAGTTGATGGCTGATAGTTGATAGGAGCCCACAAGTCCAGGGAAAAAGAGGGGGTCTAGAAAGAGGAATGCATTTTTAAGAACTGTGAAGCATTCGGTCTTGGGCAAGTACGTGATATCCTGTTCATACTTTGACTGGACATACATGCTTGATCAAAAGCAGATACTGATCACACACATACTGTACATGTGCGCATTTGCACTTCAGACATAAATGCTCCTACAGACACAGATCTGAGGAGAAAGTTTCCTGCAGCACCTTCCATGAATGTATAAGCCTGCCGTTTCCTTGAACTCTTCTAAAGCCAAAAGACAATCAGGATATGGTCAGTGATTTAACACAAGATGTTGGCATTATTTGTTGGCAGTATTTGTTTGTGTTCGTTTGTTGGAAACGTTTTCTGATAATGATGGGTGTGTTGAGCTGTTCAGTGACTCACACTTTAAAGTAATTCCTAGATTAACTCTGCCAATAAAGGAAGCGTCCTGTTCCTACAGACGGAGCTACTGAAATCCCACAGTGCCAAGTGAGATTTCTGAACGGGAATGTGACAGTTACTGTGAGATTCCACAGTTAGCAGGCTGAGATGTCCTTTTCTTTCTGTAGTGGTCATGTGGAGAAAGAATCCTTTGGAGCAAAAAAAATATAAAAAGTATTTTCATTGACAGCCCGGTGCATGATTAGTAATAAGAGTCTTTTTTATTTGAAGGAGTCACTCAAGTTAAGTTCCTGTCCGCTGACATGAAGAGGTCAGTAAGAAAAGGGAAAGTGCTGCTTGCTTTGGCAGCTGCTGCTCGTGAAGGGGTCGGAGGCTGGGTTGTGAAAGAGCAGGTCTGTGGCCTTGGAGTTGCCTTGTCCTCGGGGCTTGTCGTAGTGTCGTCCTGGCCTCAGCAGGGCTGAAGGCAACAGCTGGGCCGCCTGCTTTCCAGGGGAGGCTGTCGGAGTGGCCAGCACCTGGCAGCTGTCTCAGTGCAAAGAGGCTTTTATTAGACAGAAACCTGACCCCTCTCTTGCCTGTGCGGTGCCATCTCCTTGGCTCCACATTGCTGATCTTCAAGCAGCCTTCTTTATAAAGACAAAGAAAATACCAAATCCAGACTAAAGCATTTTCCCCCTGTTGTCTCTTGTCCCCTTGGCTCTGAGAATGTTTAAGACACACAGATTGTTCCCTCAAAGTCAACAGACAGCACAGTATCATCTTTACGACGCTGTGTCTGGTTGGCGAGGCCCTGCGCTACTGTCTTTCATCCTCTGGCCCTGTGATACGGCGTAAATCATGTTACCAGAATGCCGAAGTCTCCGGGCCTGTTTTTGTAGAGATCGCCGGGCCTCTATGAAGACATCCTCTCCTGGGAGGGAGACGTCTGCAGCTGTCTGTGGCTGTTGAGATGTGCGAGGGAGGGTGCGTGGCTCTGGTGCTCTCTTGTACACTCATTGCGCCTGCATTTGGGCTGCAGTTTTCAGGATAGATTGTTTGGGGGGGTCAGAGAGGGAGGCATCCTAAAGGTAACCATTTTGTTTTTTCACATAGTCCTTTTCTGTGCAGCCATGTTTGTGAATCCTGGCTGTCCTTTCCGCTGTGGAATTGTTTATGTCCCTTAGTATAATCGCACATCTTCGCCAGCCTGGTTGCTCTCTCTTTCTTTCTTTTGGCATTAGTTGTGTTTGGCACCCTGCCTACTCTCTGAAACCAAGCAAACACAAGCAGGTACAATCTAGTACTTGTTGGGGTTTTTTTAAGTCCTGGTGGGTGGATGCTTATTTTGCTTCAGAGACTGGACAAATGCAAGCAGAGGTTTCGACAGATTATGTTTTTTTTCTTTTACAATTTCCATAGAAGCCTGAAATAAAACCAAACCTCCCAAGAAATGAACCGCAGCACACCATGGAGCTGAGATTCTCTCTGACACGCGCAGCTTTGTCTAAGACTGTGACTCCAGAACCCTCGGAGATAAGCTTTATGTCATTTCTTCCACTCTCTCTGTCTTCGGGGACTTCGTTTTTGCTGTTCTATGGCCTTTGTTGCTCAATGCTGTTATTTCCGTTTCTTCTTCTGTGCTCTGTGAAAGAATCAGGTTACGGTTTGAAACGAACTGATTCTTTTTGACTCATCTACACAGCAAGAGCGTACTGGGTGCCGAAATCCTAACTGCAGCTTGCCGGCCGCAGGGAAACTGCACTGCCCTGGTGGTAACTGGGGCTCATCCCCGAGAGAAACAACAAAACTGAGCTTCTGCCCGTCACGAGGCTGCAGGCCAGGGGCGGTGGAGGCTGGGGGAAGAGAGGGGATTTGTCTGTCACTCTCCTGGCCAGGGGTGTGAGAGCTTTAAAAAGGCGACAAAGATGAGGAGCCCTTCTGGCCCTGCCCTTCTAGGCTGTTTGGTAGTTCGTAGGTAATCGTTCCAAGAATCTCATTCAGTCATTTCTTGAAATGTTCCAGGGTATTGGTTTCGACAGCGTGGCTGGGAAGCTTGTGCCACGCTCCCACAAACCTCCGGGTCATGAAGTGTCGCTCTCCTGTTCTCCGTTTTTAAGTCACTTCCTCATAGCTCCCACTTGTGCCCTCTGGTTTGTGTTTCACTCTTGATTCCGAAGAGATCTGCTGGGTTGACTTTGGCAGAGTGTTTTTAGGACTGTATACAGTATCTGGTCCTCTCAGAATTTTCTCTGCTCAAGACTAGAAAGGTCCAAGCATTATCCTCGGGATGTCTAGCCCTTATCCTGGATGGCAGCTCCTATAGGTGTCTTCATACCTAAGGACCTGTTAAACCAGCTTCTAACTGTGTGTCTTGGTCGCAGCCTCACCTCAGGGTCCAGAGGCCGGCTTCGCTCGCTGTGCTGTCTTGTCAATAATTCTCCCCTTCTGTCTGGCGCAGGTGACTCTGCAGCTGAAGCCCATCCAGTCCCTGCCGGAGCACGAGAAGCCGCTGGTGTTCGTGCTGAACTCCCTGCGCCCCGTGCAGTGGAAGCTGGAGACGGAGAAGCTGGCTCCTCAGGTCAAGCGGACCTTCCATGTGAGTTGAGGGGAGACTCTGTCCGTCAGGTCCCACCAGTTTTGCTGGCTCTCCCTGGGGTCATGACTTCTTAGGCTGTGCTCTCCGCTGTGAGGTCCTGTGGCTTGTGTGCGACACCTCAGGGATGAAGATTATGTCACTCATGTTTTTATGCAGCCAGGTGGAGAAATGTTGTTTAGCGATCGCAGACGTTTGTGTGTATGTGCTTGTGTGCATAAGCGTTGTGTGACGTGTAAGCAAAACCTAGGAGAGAGTTAATGTTTCTGGCTCCGTTCGTAAAGAGCGGTTGTAGCCAAAACACACAGATTCAGTTTCCAATTTTTTTTAATTGCCGCGATTAATGTTGACAGCAGGGTGGGGAGGCAGCAGGTGGGGTCTAGGGCTTAGCGGGAGGAAGTGGGTACCAGCTTCTTCCGAAAAGCAAATCCCTCTCACTCCGGCTTGGGGCCCCAGGCATCACTGCAGACCCCTTGCTTGCGCTGGGCTTTGAAGCTAGACACCGAGACTCCGGCACCATCACGTGGAATTAATTAACACCTGTGTGTTGGTGGGGTATTAAAAGTGCTTCGGGCCCTGAGTGTTGGTTTATGTGTTCGGGCTGCTCCCTTGAGGCGACCTTGTGTTCTTCGGCTCCCTGAAACGCTAAGGCAGCAGCAGTGATCCTTGGAGTAGGCTTTTCCCTGGACGCACCCAGTCGGGACACCTCTGACGCAGCCTGGGACGAAATGTGTTTACACAGAGCATAAACCGGAGCTATGAGACCAGCACTTTGTTGGCACGGCGTCCCGATCGGCTTTTGGAAAAACTCCACTTCTCTAAACTGTTGACTGGTTTGCAGGACGAGTATTGTTCAAGCCTCAGCGTTCCGAGATCAGCTCCTTGTAGCGGGTGCGATCTCATGCCCCGGCGCTGTGCGGGGCCAGCCCGAGCCGGCTTGGGAAAACATTTCTCTGGGCCGGCCTGGGCCATTGGCACTGCTGGACCCCTGGCTATATTTAGCAAGAATCCAGGGGGCCCTGCCCCGCTGCAAGTTAATGAGAAAAAGAAAGCTTGTTCAGATCTGCTCACTGTAGGCTTTGGCAACGCTATCACATGAGAAAATCACAAAGGAAAAGCAGCTCGAGCCCAGTGTAGCTGCAGCCATGAGGCCGCTTTGAGAGTGTATATAAACTGAAGCCCAGCACGTGACTCCAAGTATCAAATTAAAGACTTGTGTTCCTAAAAACCGGTCCTTGGGGAAAGGTTTGCCTTTTGTGAAAGCTGAGATTACTAAAATATTGCATCAGTGTGTGTGTATAGCAGTTGTCTTTGACAACACACACAATGCACACCCACAATAGCACGAGTTCCTATATAGCACACCAGGTTACTAACAAGAAATATCCTTGAAAATTCCCCCCCAACCTTGTGTTGCTCTCAAAACCAGCACTGATTGATAGCAGTAGCTTTCTGGGTGCTTTTTATCAGAAAGATTCTGGTGTGGTTTTCGTTTCTGGGTACTGAATTTGTCAGCAAGGTTGTGACTCTTCTCCTTCCTGAGGTGTCTTACATAGCGTGCCAGATACCAGAAACCCTCCGCTTGTTTTTAATTCGTGCAGTCAGGGCAGAATAACCCCCGACTGAGCGGTTTTGAGGGCGCCTTGCAAAATGTACTAAAGCAAACAAGTTCAAAACAAGAACGTTTTTAGCAAAAACACATACTGTATTCTAAGTACATTCAGCGGCGAAAAGTAAGGCCATCGCCTGGTAGCAGAACCAGGAGGGTTGGGCGCTCGTCGTGAAGGCCCCGCGTGTCCGAGCCGTCGGGTCGGACAGAGCCGTGGAGCTGATGAGTTGCGCAGACGCTCCCTGAGCTCAGAGCGCTGCTCGGGCCGAGCCAAGGTATGTCTTGGCAGCCTCTTTTGTGAGTAGGGCTAATGCGAAAAACATGTGAGTATGTGTACCTGCAGGTACCCTGATAGAAAACAATGTGTTCTCGCTGTAGTGAGGGATTATCAAGCAGCAGCAGCAGCAGCGCCACAACTCTCCTAGTGCACTGACTCTCCTTCTCCCTCTCTCTCGCCTCTTTTCTGTCCTCTGCCTCCCCCCACCTCTCTCTCCTCCCCCCCTCTCCATTCCTGCTCCCCTCTCTCTTCCTCTCTCTCGGTCTCTCTCGGCGGGCCTGTATCTCTACAAAACCACAAGAAACTCGATGGCTGAGGCTTCAGTTCTGGACAGCTGATAAAAGCCTTCTGAAACAAGTGTTATTTGTTTTGGTCTAAGAGGTATTTATCTGGAAATCAGAAAGTTACTTTTGCAATCATAGCTTAAGCAGGCCCAGATGTGAGGCCGAGCTGCGGAGTAAAAGCTTGTAACATGTAGGTCTTGTGCTGATTTCTACGCTCACACCCTCAGACACAAACAGGGCCTTGTGGGTTCTGCCCATTCCCTGCTCTGCCTTCTACTTTCACATACCATTACCATTATTTATCACCCCCGTTTCTAATTGCCTGTGATTGAGCAGCCTGACACACCGGCCGGGGAGGTCAGGACTGCGCTCGCCAGAGCCATGTGCCTTTCAGAGCCAGCTGCTTTTTCGGCAGCGCGCACGGAGGGGAGTCAGCCAGCCTTTGCTGGGGTTTTTAAAGAGGATGCATCACTGCTTATCACAGATGCATTTGCTCTGTATTTCCTGTCTTGATCAAGAGGTTGTAAGTTGATTATACTAGTGCAAATTCAACTTCTGAGTTTGGTGCAGAGACCAGAGCAGGGGTTAATCAGTGAGGCTTAGTAACAGTTAAATCCAGCGAGACTTGGGCAGGAACACTGGCGCAGGCTGTTGGAGTTTAATCCGAGGAATTAAGTTTCAGACACCCCACTAAAAATGCAGAAACACCCACGCAAGAAAATGTCTGCATATTTTATGTTCAAAGGGATTTTTTTTAAAAGCCAAAGGCATCTTATTGCTCACGTTTGACATTTTAATTACTCAACTATTTCCTGTTGAAATTGGGAGCTGCTTGTTTTCTAACAGATGTATTTTTTTGTGTTTATGAGTTTAATTCTCTGCACAATGTTTTTTTTTTTTAATAACTTCAAATCCACAAAGTTCATTTTTGTTTTTGGGTGACATATGAACCTTATCCCTTATATATATATATTTGTGGAAAGGGCATTAACATTAACTCTGCTGCAGCAGTAAAACAAACAAGAAGAAAACCTATAGGAGTAACTGTAGATCATGCAAATGTCCAAGCAGAAGCTGGCATGGAGACAGGCTGCACTGATCCCTGCACTTCCATGTGCTGAGGAGTGAGCTCTTCAGATTGAAGCTGGAGGTGAGCTCTGTGCAGGGGACCTGACAGTGTGAGGGTGAGGGCAGAGCCCTGGACCCCTTACTGCAGGGTTGAGCAGTGTGATTCCTCCTGCGGGCTCTGTTACCATTCTCCCTAATTGCTAAGCTGCATGGCAGATAAACTTGGGATAGACCAGTTTCCCATCCATGGGGACATCATGTGCTCCCAGTGCTTCATGCTGAGCTCTGCATCACTAATTTTTCAAAACATTTACTTATCTGTGATTTCAGCATGATCTCTGTCGGCTGTCGATTTTCTGATCCAGAGCCCGTGCGTGAAAGGAGAAACTTGTGAGCATTGGTGGCCCCGTTCTGCAGAGTTCTAACCACAGAAACATGCCCCCCAACACCACCAAGGCCTGAGCTGTGCTCTCGTTACAGTATATCTGCTTCACAGCTCCAGCGGGGTTATGGTCTGTGTTTATTCAACACATTAAACTTTTCAAACACAACTGGATCAAGTAAAAGCTGATGGCTCTGGATGCTGACTCCCCAGTGGGCACTGGGACTCTTGTGCACACTGACAGACTACACTGTACCACAGGGTCCACTCCAGCCAAGCCTCATCAGTGCCTTTTCTTGCATCATAAGGCATATTTCCTGAAGCAAATTGGTCTGAAAATACTCCTGTCAGTGCTCATTTCCTCACGATTCCCATCTATGCGATCTGGATCCAGATACACAGACGGGCTGAGCTTGGATCAGGTTAAATACTCCGAGCGGACTGTTGGTATTGGCCGTCTTTAGAGCGCCGATGCTTTTTTAAAAACATTTCAATCCAGACGTTCCGCTGTAAAACAGGCTTAATGTGGTCCATGCAGATCAGCAATGTGCCTTGCCAGCATTATAAAAAAGAAACGTGAATTGTTACAAGAATTTTTTGGGATAAAATTTACTACAGTACACGATAACTGCAATAAAGTTGAACTTGGTAAACATGAAAGAGTCTGACCATGATTAATGTGCTTTACTGTAATGTGCATGGCTGTCTCTTTGGTCATTCACTAATCTTTCTTCTCTCCACCACAAAGGAACCTGGAGTCCATGAATCTTTGCCGCAGAGCAGCCTAACATGCACTTTTGGTTCTGTTTTACATTCTTCTGTCAAGACTCTGAACTCTGAAGGTTGGGCCTGTTGAGTTTTCTCTCATGTAAAGTTTTCCAATGGCTTTTGCATTTTAGAGATTTTGAATAAATGGGTTTTCCTGTTTTTTTGTGTGTTAATTTTCAAAAAAACAATTAAAGCATGCTTTGCATGCACCTCTTTTTTAGCAGCAAGATGGCCTGAGCTACTGTAGCTACTGTATGTGACTGAGCGCGGTGGCGCCTGCCCTCCTGCTCTGGATGCAGACCTGCAGGCAGCAGCAGCTGGGCACAGCCGCGGTATTGATTAGGACCACTGCTCTTCCTAACTTATACTGGACTGGCTCAGTGATCCAGATTCTGGTATAGTTAGTATTCCTGTTAAGTTTTCAGATGATCCCAGAATAGGTGGATTAGCAAACTCCCGGGGAAACAGGGGTTAGGCTCCTGGACTCATGACTGCCGCCACTTGTAACTGGAAGGTTGTGTGGGTTCAAATCCCACTTGAGACAACAACGCTGTGTCTTTGAATGACATACTTCACTCCGGTTGATCCAGTAAAATAACCCGCTGTATAAATGGGTTTCAATGTGAATTTCTTTGGATAAAAATGTCAGCCAGATGCATTAGCATATGCAAAGGAAATTCAAAAAGATTTCAGATTTAAGACTGAGCAAACATCTTGCTGACAACAGCAATGTAGAGAAGAGCAGTATTTCATGCAGGTCGTAGAAACAAGTTGAACTTAAAGAGCATACTTATGAAAAAGACTTAAGTGCTTGAGCAGCATCACTGCTTTGAAGAGGACATTCGCATTAAGTTGAGGGCTTGCATGCAAGGTTTAGGAGGAACCAGTTAAACCAAGTGGACATTTGTCAGTAATCTTTATTTAAGAAAAGTCTCTGTTTTGTTAATAGTTTGCAAATCTGTGACGGAAAGCACAATCCAGGCTTAAAGTAGGGACTTGATCATTTCAGGTTGGTGTGGAAATAAAAATATATCATGTTGAAGTTGCGTTGTCATCATCAGAGCTACAGTATTTGCCAAATCTGGATCTTATCTGGATGGGACGTGCCTTGATAGTTACTTTCTGATTGTTAATGGAAACCAGGCGAAAGACAGGCAGTTCTAGTTTTCAGTGGGGTTGCAGTCTGCTGCGTGTACCTACAGATGGTGTCTTCGAACCTGATTCTAGACAGCACCCTGTGTGCCTCTTTACAGGTTGACTGATCATTCGTCCGACGAGGCCTGATAAAATGAGCTGTCAACACATCTATGTCCTAATACATTGCTGTTGGCGTCTATTAACGAGTTCTTAATTAACACCCTAGGTCATTTAGAAATGGCACGTATTTTTCATTGCAGAACGTTTGTGTTTCCCAGGCTGGAAGTGTTGCTTGGTGAGCAGCTGACGAAAATACGGACCCGATAATTGATATAAAACTTTTGGCACTTTTCTTCTTGCAGCATGCACATGTGGCAGTAATATGTGAATGTTGATGGGGAGGAACACCAGGAAACCACATGAAATTGTGCTGTTAGAGACCCAGGGGCTGTGGGGAAGTCCTGGCAGCCTGCAGCTGTTGCTTTTGACTGAGGAATAAAGAGCAATGATGCTGGATAAGTGAAAGTTTAACCTTTTAAGGCTTGTCCTCCCGACGCAGCGCGTTTCTCTAATTGGCTGGAGCAAATCTCTCTGAGCTTGGGAATAATATTCTCGAATTCTTCGTTATACAGAGCGTGCAGCAAAACAGATGACGCAGGGCTTGAAGATTGTTGCCTGCTGTCCTTTCAGGACCCCCCGGAAGAATGAATCGCCAATCGTAGTCGTGCTCTCTGCCCTCCAGGGCGCGCAGTTTTAATTGCCATTCTTTTGTGTGGGACGGTTTTAATTTGCAGCACTGTAAAACTGGTTTAGTGTACCGCCGAGTGTTTGGCTGGAAACGGAGGAGCCACTGAGGCCTGGCAGGAGGCGAGAAGGGCCGATTTTTTTGTTGCACATTTTCACACCATCAACCTCCACTGGGCCTGATGTCAGAACTACCCATGGGCCCATCTGGATTTGCCGGACGTTAGGTCAATTCACAACAGAACCCCGAATCCAATCTCTTTTTCTGGCATCGTAAAGGCAGTGGTACTGTAGGGCAGTGGATTTGTGGATCAGGAGGACAACCGATTACTAGACCCATTCAGGGTAGTGGGCCGTCCGTTTGAGTGTTTTTCTTGAGAGCTTGGGGGAAAAAATGCACCTAAGAGGTCAGAAGGTCAGAGTCACTGTAGGCGTGAATACTCAAGCATGGGTTACCGTCAAGGCAGACCTGAACCGTGGCTATTGTCATCCACGGTGGAACGGGTGGAATATCCCCGCGGGTCTACCAACTCTCCTCCATCTTAGGGGCTGCCCGTAGTAAGAATGACTGTATGTTCACAACCACAGGGCCAGGGTGACTGTCCTGGACAGCCCCGTGTTTGTGGTGCACTATCTGGTGGGTCAAAAACAAAGCGATCCCCTCGTGATGGAGAAAATGGAGGCGGGCGGTTTGTGATGGGTCCTGACACATCAACAGACACGCCTCCATGAGGCCACCATGGACGTTGTCCCGCGCGACTTGTTGGACACGTGGTTTTAACACGGCGTCGTGAATTCGCCACGGGGGGGCGTTCTCAAGGGTTGTATGACATTTTTGCACATTCTGTCAAGGGAGCGTCTCGGTGCAGTAGTTTGTCATTTCATCGCCTTCGAGTGTGTGACAGACCTCCTCTGTGTTTCTTCTGGTCAGCAGCTGTAGGAAACCCTCTGTGTGAGACCTGGCAGGGATGACCTAGTAATACTCCAGCCTGGACTCTGGACTCTGGTGCATGTAGTTGCCTGGAGCTCATTTCTTTACTTTGTTGCCCTTTTTATATTCTTGGGATTTGAATTGTGTATCTTGGTTGAAAGCAAATTGCTCTTGCAATTAAATTCACACACCTACAATTCAGCGCACCTACACTGTGCTGGCCCAGAGTATCTCAGTCTCTTTTTATAATGAGTTATTTATATGCGGCGACTTCCAGACAGCTCGCAGAAGTTAAGTCTGGAGCTTTATCGTCTGTGTGTTGTTTTTTTCATGCTAGAAGATTAACCTAAATCAAGATTCTCATAAGGCTTCTTTTTGTTATCTTCTGCGTTATTTTCTTTATTTTTTGCTGTTGTCTTGAGAGCCAGAAACTTTAAGGAGACAAGCCAGAGGTGAAGCAGATGTTTGACACCACAAAAGTCCTGGCACTCAAGGGGATGGGGGTGCGTCAGGCTTGGAAGGAGGATGGGAAAACAGGGGTTTGTGTGCGTTTGAAACCCCCAGACACTCCATGTGCTTGGCATTGCGTGCCAGACAGAGGGGCAGAGTCATGACTCCAGACCAGAGCTCTGTTATGAGTTGTTATGGGGCTTGATTGGAAGTATAAGTTAGAGGATCGTAAGTGTGATTCAGAGCTGTGTTCTTTTTCCTGAACAAACCCATGGTGCCAGCATTTAATTCGCATGGCCTCTTGTTTTTCGAAACGATCCCTTCCGAAATGAGAAAAAAAGCCGGAGAAGGAGCCTGTCTAGACCGTCTGCAGGGGCACGACGGCTGCAGCAGATCTCAGCACACATGCGAATGTTTATCTCTCCGAGCCGAGGCGTAGAGATCGGGCTGTGTTACAAGCCAAAGGGGTGGTCTCTTGCTTTGCAGGTCGGTTCTAGCTGAGCTCTCGTGCCAGAACCCGAACCAATACCTCATGGTTGTGAGGGGGGTTGCACACATTGCAAGCCCCTCTCTTTTTCCATTTTCGCGCCAGCAGCTGTTTTTGTTTTGAGTCTTTTTTCTTGCGCCCAGTGTGACTTTTCCCTCCTCGTACTCGGCCTTTCATGAGGACAGTAAATCATCAGTCAGGGTCAGAATCCTTTCAGACCTGTTTGGTAATATAATCGGCTCAAACGGACTATTTAACGGCGATTGGCACCCTGGAGGGCGTCGATTATGTAAGAAATGTGAGCTAACGATATATACAGGGGCGAAGTATAATTCAGGCATTGTTGTTGTAGAATGCGTGTGCTGGTCCCTGGAGATGCAGTGATCTCATGGCTACAGACCGACTGGAAATGTTTTATCATTTAAAGCAGATGGATGGAGGGTCTGTGGGTGTGCTGTCTGCGTGATGCAGGCCAGTCCCCTCGCCTTGGCTGTTCACGAGACCTCGGCAGCTTTCAGAAACTCCCGCTATACTGACGGGCCTGTGAAAAGACCACATGTGGAAGCCGTGAAGACTGAGTTTGAAGCAGACGTTACTGTGGGTCAAGAGAGGCGCAGTTTCAGAAATGTCATGGATGGGAATTAAGTGCGCGAGAGCTGCATGTCATTCCTGAATGTCAGAATTGAGCTCTCTGTGCCTCTTTAAAACTGACGAATATCTTGAGCAGCTTTGTATAGCTATACACTCTCTTTATAGGTTCTCTCAGCCATTTTTTGGATGCACTTTATAAATGGGATGATTGGAATGAAGCCACGACTATGTCAATGGTCAATAAAATCACACTTACATGCAGCTTCAAAATAAGCCCTTATGTTTCTACAGTACATTACTTTTCTTTGGTGTGCTGGCGGCCTCATCCTGCCCTGCATTTCTGCTGCCTTTGAGGGTAATGAAAAGGTTAATTCCGATCAGGTAGCTGTGTCCGAGCCCTGGGGACTGTTCCACTAAATGCCCTTATTTCCTGACTTGAAACTGCTACCCCATTAGAGATACCAGACATTACTGAAAAGTAGTGCCTTTCAATGCATACTGATCAATTATATCCGATATGCTTCAAGTACTGAATGCATTTCTTTATGGTTTCCCCTGACGGCTTATTAAATAAAATCTAAGAGGTCACACCACCACAAAGAGAGTAAAACCATAGAGCAGTGGGACCAGTGGTCTGGTAGACTTGGGCTACCAGGAGCTGACACATTGATGGGAAGCTGTATTGTAAGGACAGATCAGTGTTGACCACATGTTCCACTATCCACACAGGAGCGACTAAAGAAAATGAGCTCATGGTATAAACTTATCTGACCACACTTGCAGCTGTCACTGAGGGACGTACTTTATTAATTCCTTTCTTTACTTTCCACCCAGGTTTCCGAAGGCTCGACGGTCCAGTTCGAGCCCGGAAATTTCTCCCTCTCCTGCAAGGTTCTGCAGGAAAAGCTTCCCACCCACAACGAGCGCCTAATGACGTGGGCCAAGAGGAAGTACGAGGCAGTGACCTCCTTCTCCGAGCTAAAGGTCGCCCAGAACATCTACATTAAAGTGGGCGAAGGTGAGCCGAGCAGGTGGAGGGGGACTGTGGGCTGCAGCTGGAGCACTGCAAGAAGTGTGAATTTGCGATCATTGCTTTTTCAGTACTTACGAATATGCCGGCTGGTGTGCTTTGTTTTGACATTTTAAGGAAAAGTCCATAGTATGGCATGGTGCAACAGTAGTTAGCACTGCTGCGTCACAGCTCTGGGGCACTGAGATCAGTTCCTGTGGGCTACATGTGTGGAGTTTGTATGTTCTCTTTGTACGTCCGCAGGGGTCTCCTCCCAAAGTCCAAAGATGTGCTCGTGGGTTAATTTGGAAAAAATAGGCCCTGCTATGACTGTGGTTGTGTCCATCTGCCCCTTGCTTCCAGGATAGTGACAGTGAACCCAGGATAGAAGGTGTTAAGTGTATTTGGCTTGGCTTTAACAAAGCATGAAAAGCAAGCTCTGTACTGTAAGACAAGGTGCCAGTGTATAATTCTATACAAGGTATGTTGCTTCGAGTCCAATGCCATGTGAGCCTAATAAGGAAGCACCTGTCTTCTGTTTCAGCAGAGTGGAAAACGAGCAGGGCTTAGTCCTCATGTTCTGGCAAAGATTTAAGTGGAGGGTGTGAGGGTGGAAAAAATTAATATCAGCACAGAAGACTGTGAGATGTTCAGAACTGTTGACGGTGTGTCATGTGCCATGTTTCTTACAGGAATTCATGGTAAATCTTTCCTTCTGTGCAGCACAAATAGTTGTGTAATTTAAAGTGATTTGTGGGGTTCAACCATCTGAGGGTGACAGTGTGAGCTGTAAGAGTGAGGAGGTGTCCTAGATCCCGTCTCGATGTATAAGTTTGTGGTCAAACACCACCAGTCAACACCACCTTTGGTGGCTCTGCCATCCCACAATCGTCTTGGAATGGAGACCACTGGGTCCACACAGGCAGCTGGCGGGTGATCAGTGCCCATGGTGAAGCATGAGTCTCAGCTTGCTGGCAGGCGCCAGCACTGCGCCTTGCGCAGGATTCGGCCACCTTCTCACTGCGCCCTTGTCACCTGCCTTCCAGACGCCACGTTCTCAGAGACCTGCAAGATAGACAACAAGTTCCTGTCTCTAAATTACCTGGCTCAGTACGAGCAGCCCCAGCAGTCCCTGGGCTGTGTGCTGTCTGGCCCCTCTGAGGACAGGGAGGTCCACATCATCGAGCTGCAGGCGCCCAACTCCAGCAGGTGAGCTGTGCTGTTCCCCAGGCCCAGCCCAACAAGGTTACTCATTGCTCCCCCTGCAGGCCAGGGCGTGCTGCTGCTTTTCCCAAGCTTGACTGTCACAAAGCAGTGCTTCACTTTTCAGTCAGAAGTGTTATTAACAGTTTGAATCAGTTTCAGAACACAGATGCTCAGATTTTAACTCAAGCGCATGAGCATATGTCTCCTGTTTAGCTGTTTAGCTCCCTATGGGTTTGACAGTAGGATCCAGCTTACAGCCATTCAACGCGAAGAGCTCGAATGGTTTTGCTCCTGACTGCGTCAGTAAAGTTCACTTCCTGCACATCTGCCCATCTCGGAGCGCAGCCCCTTGCACTCTGGCTGTCACTCAGATCAGAACGAGGCCCCCAGCAGAGGGCTGTAGGAAGATCTTCCAGCCATTATTAGATCCTGCAAGTCAGTTGGCACTTTCAAATCCTGTCTTAAAACTGTGTTATATTAAAAAGTCCCCGTGATAATGAATCCTGAAATGCATGGTTTAAAACCAAGATTATTATTTAGATTTGATTTCTAAACATGAAACAATTTAAAAAGGCTTAAAGATGGAAAAAATGTTAGAGATCTGACATTTGCCTCTTAAAAATACCCCAACCTCCGATGAAGTAAAGAAAAACAGAACAAGAAACCGTGGTCGGGATTAGTTAAACACACACACAGTGTAAATATAGACAGTGTCCCTATTCCCAAACACGGTTACTGCTGACAGCAAGGTAGTAATTTTCTCTTTCCAGTGTTTTCAGCAACTGAGCTAGTAATTGCACAAGAATCTACTGAAGCGTTTTGTTCCTAAATGGTTCCCCGAAGCTGCTGGCAGTGTGAAAATGCAGCCGCTGTGTTGTGTAAAATCACTCCAGTCTGCACATAGTAGTAACAGGGTCTGCTCCACACGTGTCCTGCTCATCCGGGACACAGTCCAGCTTTTTAATCATTTGGCCAGACACTGGAGACATGATAACATGGAAGAAAGTTTGATAAATTTCACAACTCTTGGCATTTTGAAGTTTTTACGGTGTCTCCTTTCCGCCTTTTTCCAAAACAGCGCTTTCCAGGTGGACGTGGTGGTGGACATCAGGCCCCTGGACTCCAACGCCGCCCTCCGCCGGGACCTGGTGCTCGTGCTCAAGTGCCAGAAGTCGGTCAACTGGGTTGTGGAACCGCGTGGGCTGGCGGGCCGGCTGGAAGTTCTGGTGCGTAGCTGGGCGAGACTGTGGGGTCTCCCTCCTGCAGTCCGCGCCCCTGTAGAGGTGCTCCTGTCGGGGGTTCGCCACACCCCACATGGGGAGACTGGCGGGGACGCGCGTCAGGCCGCAGACTCCTGACGAAGGCCCCGTGGGTTTGAGGGGGAAGGGAGAGAGCCAGGGTCCTCACGTTGTGTTCCACGTGCTCTTGGCCTTGATCGCTCATCACCCAGCAGAACACATGAGCTACAGTACGGGAATCGCTGGCACCCTGCTGGGCTTCTAGGATTTCAGATCTTGGCCTGGTGAGCGCCACAATGTTCATGGCTTTTGGAGTTCGTAAGGAAAAATATTTTTCGATGAGATTTTTTTTTATCTTAACTTTTCATGGCACTACAACTTTTAAAAAAAGGTTCAAGAGAGAAAAGGAGCTATTGCCAAAAAAGTCTTTTTACTACGAGATGGCTTATCAGAGATGGCCTTGCTTTGAATATTACTGGGCACTCTGTACTGGATTTAACTGTAATAAAACAACTTTTTTACATCAGCGTGAAATTCTCAGGGCTTATTCATCTAGTTTCAAAGGCATTGAAGGAGCTGTCTTTAAAACTCCTGTGATTTATTATGTAAGATATACTACAGACTTCTTTCAGAATTCTAAGTTTTTCTCCTTTTTGGTTTTTAAAATACATCAGCACGTGTGTTTGAGAAAACAGCTATATGAAAAGAAAGTTGCTTTAAAGGACACAGTGGAGTGAAATATTGAGCCTGGGGAGGAGTGTCAGGAGGACCAGTTGAAAACTGGGGGTGGTCACCCTGTGCACCTAGCAACCTGTGGGGTTGCTGTGGAAACTGGACGTGCTCCAGATCCACAGGTGAGGCTCAGCTGGAGAAGCTCTGCAACCAAACTGAAGACCGAGCAGGGAAACGCGGTCGGGGTCGGGTAGCAAAACCTTCTTTAGTGAACTTGTTTTTTTGGAAAGAGGAAGTTTAATTTGTCCCAGCGCTCTGGCACCCTGCCAGCAGTTTCAGTTTGAAAGCCTTCCTAGCCTTGAGGTGATGAGACGCTCCAGAAACCTTTAGGACCATTGTCAACTTCACACAGGCGTTGAAATAAGTTAGCCTCACTGAAGAGGGTATTTTTGGACATGTAGCTCTAACATCCCTGTGGCTAGCAGAATTCGGAAACTCCAAAGCTGTGACCAGCTGGGTTTTCTGCATTCATCTGCAGAAACAGCGGAGCTCTGAGTTATTACCTCATCTCTGGAGGTACATAATAGGTGGTGATTTAAAGACTCTTGAATCCCATCAGGTTTAATTAAATAAATCCACAAAAAACAGTATGTGTTTAGGAACCTTCAAGACACCATCGCAGTAAAAACATCTCACTAAGTAACTCGTCTTTTCAGCTTCATGTGCTCTTCTATGGTTTAAACTCATTTTGTTGTGTGAACTTGGTAGTTTTAGGAATTTCTGAACATATGCCCAGTCTTTCATTGTGTATTTTCCAGATTTGCGTGTTTCTGCTCCTATAAAAAAAAAAATTATAATGGCAAAACCATTTTGTGGTGACAAAAGCACCTAATGTTTTGAAGCCTGTGGCCTCTTTGTTAGGCCTAAATGGCCTGGCTGGTCTCACATAAATCTTTGACAGTAAAGATTAACTGTTTACAGTATGTTAGCCTTTGGCATGCCTATAATGAAATCTTGCTTGGCACTTACACATGAAGCGTGGAACAATTAGTGCTCTTCTTCTCCCAGCTGCCCGCCAGGGTTCCCACAGTCTGCTGTTGCCACTGGCCCCCCTGGGCGAAGGAGCAGATCCAGTTATCGCTTTCAGGAGCCTGTGTGCTGCCTGTAATCAAGACCTGTTACAGGACAAGAGCCTGCCATGACAGTGCACGTCTTCCAGCGCGCCCTGTTTGTTCAGCTGCCCTGGAAGGGTATTTAATCAGTCAGGGCTGCTTCTCTGCAGGAAAGCAGGAGAGAGAGAGAGAGCACAAGGCTGACATTGTAAGGCAAGCTGGCCTAAGCCAGCGCTGAATTGAAAACACATGGGAGAAAACCCAAATTGCCGTTTCACTGGCCTGACGGGAAACCTCGGGCCCGGTTAGGGGTGTTGGGCGAGATGAGAGAGCTTAGCCAGGGAGACAGACTGCAGCGAAACCTCTCGCGGCTGATAAGGGCTGTCAGAGGGAGAGTGCGTCGGGGGGGAGGGTCACTGACGAGGACAGAGGACAGGTTCAGCTCTTGCCGGGACATGTCCCTTCAAGTGCGCACGAGCTGCACTGGCAGTCCCGAACGAGCCTCGTTAACGGGCCGGCTCGGCGGGGACGAGGCGGGTGTGTGCGTGGGCCAGGCCCTGGGACGGCCTGTGTGGCGCGGGTCAGGTGCGTGTGTGGGTGTGTGCGCGCGGGAAACGATAGCCTCGTAAAACCAGAGCTCCTGCTACTGCCGGAGGGTTGGCCAAAGCCAGGCGAGGGGCACTGCCGATGTGTGGGAATCTTCTGTGGGAAAGGATTAACGTTCGCTCACATTAGCGGCCAGCTGAACGGGGAACAGATGTGTAATTCAGAGAAAATGTGACACGTCGGTGTCTCGTGATTGATCAGGCACAGCGCAGCGCTGTTCTCCTGGTGGCGTGCCGTTTGAGAAGCCTTTTCAGAATTGAATATTATTGTTAATTTGTTGTGGCGGACAGCCTGATCCAAAGTCACTTGGTTAATAATACTGTTTTGTTATATAAATGACTTGCGGTAAATCGCTAGAAAACATTTACAAAAAGTAGAGCAATCTAACAAAAATCGAAGAACAAATGGGATACAAGCTACTGCTGTTAGACTAAGTAAAAGAAGTGCAATGAACTTTGTCATCTGCACGCGTGGTGCACTCATATACATCTCTTTTTCCCTTGAAAGTCCACTGATAGATGGTTTAAGTGAAAACAGATAATTGCCAGTAAAGAACTGGCAGCTGGAGTGGAAATTGTTTGCCCTATTTTGGTTCTGTTATCAGGTCTAGTTTCTGGAACAAATAAGATAACAGAACAGGAAGTGCTGATTTCTGTGGGTAGGAATTTAATGTTTATCTTTCAGCATAAAGCCGTGCGCTTGGCTTTTGAATCTTATCGATGGCGATTAGAAATCGACACACTGAAACAAAGGGTTTTATTGTGAGGGTTTCTCATCTCAGCCCCGTCCCGGCCCCTGCTGCAGGACAGCAGTGTGGGACAGTGTAACTGCAAGGCTGTGGGTTCAAATCCTGAGTCCTTGATTGAGGTGCCTCATTCCTATTGTTTCAGGAAAATGCTGTATAAAGGGGTACAAACATAAGATTCTTTCAACTAAAATGTCATCTAAAAAAACTGTCTGCTGCCACAGAGGTGGGAGACCAGACACCCAGCTCTCTGCGCAGGGTCCGGTCCGCAGCCCCTGGACTGTTCTTGGCTTTTCGGCTCGAGCCCCGAAGTTAATAAAATGGGCTCGAGGGCTGTGGATTGCAAACCCAGCAACGAGGGTCAGGCCAGGATAAAGGAAGGGGGCTCAAAGCAGATGGAGCATGTTGAAATGGGGCTGGGGAGCGCTCCGAGCAGGGCGCTGGAATGTTGTTGAAGGCACACGTGCCGTTAGGGGCGGCAGTGTTTCATGGTGATGAGAGAGGCTGCCGGGCCTCTGCTGGGCCTCTGCTGTGCGTTAGCCCCTCTGCTCTTCCCCGCAGACCTCGGAGACTGTCTCGGTGGGGCACGAGGTGGAGAGCTCCATGCAGGTGGTGAAGACGGCCAGGCAGAGCCTGCCCTCGGGCTCCCAGGCTCTGATCCACTGGGCGGAGGAGCGCGGCTACCGTCCAGTCACCTCCTTCACCAGCACTGCCGTGGCCAACCACTTCAGCCTGAGGCTGAGGGAAGCAGGTGAGCCCCTCGGGGAGCCGAACAAGGCCTGTATTCGGGACCCTCGCCCGGGCACAGGTGTTCAGTGTCCAGAGACACAGCCCAAAGGTGATCGCTCTGTACCTGTAGGGCTGTTGCTCTGTACCTGCAGGGCCGCAGTGCTGTTGCTCCGTACCTGTAGGGCTGTTGCTCTGTACCTGCAGGGCCGCAGTGCTGTTGCTC